GGGGGGGACCCCCCCCCCCGAACTCTGCCTCTCCCACAGCCAGGGGATCTCTGGTTCCCCTGGCACCCCAGACTCTTCTCTCCCTGGTCAGCTGTCCTCTGCCCCCTCCCTGCCCCCTCCTCTTGCCCTTCTCCTGGCCAGCACAGCCCCTCTGGGCACCGAGACGCTTTCTGCCGCCTCATCCCTCTGGCCTGGAAGGATGGAGGTGTGTGTTTCACAGCAGGACCCCTGCCCTTCCCTCCAAGGTGGCCCCAGGGACCCACAAGCCCCTCTCCAGACACCTCTAAGGACTGCAGAGCTGCAACGCATGCCTTCCACCTCAGAAGGAGCTGGCAGCTTTCTCCCCACCACCCTTCAAAGCCTATTATTCTACTCCCCTTCCGTGGGTGTTCAACAGCCTCTCTGGGACAGAGACCAGTTCTGCTGCTTGACCCCATGCCCTGACCCTGTGCCCAGACCCAGGGAGAACTCTGCTGTAACCTGAAACTCCCACGCTACATTGTTTCTCTAATAAAGTCACCACGTTTTCCTTTTAGACATAAAATCTGAGAAAGAAGACTATGTGACAGAAGCAGCAGAGATGTTCTCTGACTGTGTCTCGCCCTGAGTAGATGTTGTGTCTTTTCTAGACCTCAGTGCACTCAACTCCCAAGTGTTTAACTGAAGCCATGGCAACAGGGGATCCAGCCGTGCTCCAAGAATCATCTCAGGATGTGAAGCAAAGAGACAAGCCCCTGGTAAAGAGCATGGAAACTCCAGAGAAGGCGACGATCCCATCAAATGCCATGAAGATGTTAGATCCACGTTGGTTAAAACCCAACAGCATCGAGACGGAGAGAATCATAACTGTCTTGGATGAGACGATTGCCAGGCTGGAGCTGAGCAGTTTGATCCCACAGATTATTGAGTCTCTGGACAGGTTTGCTGATGTGCTGGGACCTGAGATCACCAATAACCTGATCGAGCACCAAAAGCTTTCCAATGAAATGGAGCGCCTGCTTTCCAGCTCTGAAGAAGAGGACACCATGAGAGCTGAGGAACAACGGCGCTGTCTCTGCTTGCTAAAGCAACGTCTGAAATGCTCTGTTAGAGATGTCCTGAGACTCCTACTGGCCAACCCTTCACTTTGCCGGGCTCTGAAATACGAAGCCTTGGTGAGAGAGTCACCAGCTGAAGCGTTTATCAAAGATTTTAAGGAGTTCAGGAATTTCATGCTTGAGAGACTCCTGACTAGTCCCACAGAAGAGGAAGAAAAGATTCGGTTCTTGGAGGACATCTCCCTCCAGATTCACAAAAACACTGAAGCAATCATGGCTTTACAGGCAGAACTGGCAGCAGCAATCCAGACTCGAGAGGACGAGGTATGATGTTGTGGGAACGTATTTTCCAACAAAGTGTTGCCGAAGCAAAACTTTGGTAAGCCTAAAAACAATCTATTTCTTGCAGTTCCTAAAGAGGAAGTTCCAGAAATGATTTCTAAACCAGATCCTAAATTTAAAGATACTACTTTTGATGTAAAATATAATGAAAAATGCTTATTCCGTGCCTGATTTTTTTTTAAACTTGAATTTGGCATGTTTTGAACCTTTTCTCACCAGCCAACTGAAACGACACAAGTCACTGAGTTTACAAAGGAGCTGCAGGACAGGCACAAATTGCTGCAGTAGCATTTTGGCAGGGCTACAATGTCAGCTGCCAGCGCGGGACTTCATTCACTGCTGATGAAATGATGAAAAGTCATTCCAGCGACAGTTTGCTCTGATTAAAATCCTTTTTTTTTTTTTTAATATCTGCTCTGTCTTCTCTCTTGCTTAAAATCAACATTTCTGTGACTGCCAACTCCAATACTAGCTGCCTTACAGCCTTTGTGATTAATAAGTGACTATGTGGGTTCCTCACTTTTTCAGTGAAGGCAACTGAGGTACGGATAAACCAGCGGGCATTTCCCAGGCTCATTTTGTGAGTCCATGGCTGTGCCAGTGTCTGAGCCCCTGAGCTCCTGACAAGCAGCCCTTTGTTTTATACATATGCTTTTCTTTCTCCTTCCTGCGAGAGGGGTCGGAGGGGAAGGTTTTGTCATGTGCTCGCTGCACTGAATGGCACTAATGGAGACAAGGGCCTGCTTTCCCCACTCCCTCCGCTCCTTGGAGATCTGTGAATCGAGACACTTGAGATTTTTATGTGTGATTTGGCAGCTTGTCCAGGGCATCATGAATAAATCTGTTTCCCTGCTCCCAGCGGAGGGTTTCTCTCGCAGGCAGCGTCCCCCAGACAGTCAGTCTGAGCCTGTTCCAAAGCTCCAGGGAGCCGTGGGCCTCGCTCCAGTGGCTCTGATTTTGGCTGTTCCTCAGATGGCAGTGCCAGCGGGGCTCGCTATGGTTTGTTCCTTCTCTACCTTTATCCACAGGTTCACAGAGGAGCAGTGGGGGAAGGTTTCCATTTTTCCTGTGTAAATCTAACTGTTTTCTGAGCCAGCAGTGGCAGGTCCCTCTTGCTACCAGATCAGCAGGGCGTCTTCTTAGATCTCCCCCACCTTTGCCAGGACTCCTTACTTCTCCTGCCCACTGTGTGCCTCACCAGCATCTCTCCATGCTATTTCTGGCTCTAGATTCACAGGAAGGACAATGTGATCGAAGACCTCAAAAGCAGCATGCAAGATCTCACCACAGATTGCAAGGTCACCATCCAGAATATCAAGGAGGAAGGAGAAAAACAGCAGGAAGAGCAGCTGGAAGCCTCCCAGGAGCGCTGTGCCAGGCTACAGCAGGATGTTCAGCAGCTGGAAGCACAACTCAACGCACTAGTGCTGGAGCATCGAGCCTCAGAGCTGGCTCTCCGAAAGGTAAACAGGAGAAAAGCTCTAGAACAGGAGATTTAAAACCTTTCGTAGCACTGTCAGGTCTGGCTGTTGCAAGTCATGGCTTGGTTCCTGTTAGTTACTGGCAAGAGACACATGCTGTTTGTCAGACTATACCTGCTCCGTCCTCATGCTCTGCTGATTCCAGTGGAAAGCAGCCTTGCAGCGAGAGCAGGGAAGCCACCAGCTCGCAGGTCCTCCTCCTGCCTGCTGGCTTAGCTCTGAAAACACCTCTACGCAGTGCTGGGACACTGCACGCTGGAGAGGCTGTGGTCAGAGAGCAGAGCAACAAGGCATATGTTAAGAAACAAGGGATTCGGTGTAGGGTAAGCAGAGCAAACGTGATATTTGCTTTCTATAAAGCTGTCTTGTAGAGCTGATTGTAGGTTTGAGTGCAGCTGATCTTGGGACCTGAGCAGCTGTCTGGCTCTTTGCTGAAGACACGAGCCAAGGAGCAGGACTGAGTTGAATGAGGGGGAAATGTGATTTACAGCACTGCTGAGTGGATACAGGGGGAGGAAACGGGAGCAGCAGGCTCCGGCCTCTGCATCAACTCACTGCTCTGGGATGAGCACGCTTGTGGCACTGGACACAGAGAATCTAGACCAGGAAAAAGAGCGTTTCCCCCCTCGTTTTGCTCCTACTTGCTATTTGATCCAGATGATCAGAGGGCTGGAGCACCTCTCCAACGAAGACAGACTAAGAGAGCTGGGTTTATTCAGCCTGGAGAAGAGAAGAAAATCCTTTACTGTGAGGGTGGTGGTGGAAAAGGTTGCCCAGAGAAGTTGTAGCTGCCCCATCTCTGGAAGTGTTCAAGACCAGGCTGGATGGAGCTTTGAGCAACCTGCTCTGGTGGGAGGTGTCCCTGCCCAGGGCAGGGGGTTGGAACTCCATGATCTTTAAGGTCCCTTCCAACTCTAATGTTTCTATCTTTTGATGGTTCCATGGAGCACAGACACAGCAGCTTGGGGTAAACTGCCCGTACCTGTTTATACTGCAGTATAGCCACTGTTAAACTGTTTTACAGCTAGAAATATATCTTCCTTTAAAAGGCAGCATCTTTTGAGTACTTTCTATCCCACTTTCACGTTTAGCAGCTCTTTATTGCTTCAGTTTCAGGGTGGTTGCCCCAGTTTGTGAATGATTTGCCACATTCCATGAGGCATGTTCATTTCCTCCTGCAGAATGTACCTTTGGGATGCATTTCTGTCCTCAGCCTTCACCCGGCTCCATGCTGTAATCCCAGTAAGGCCCTTTTGGCCTCAGGGAATGTCCCACAGGATTCCTCAAACCAGGGCAAGCAAAATAAGTGTCAGCTGAAGGAAGCTTGCCACAAGGAGGAAGTGTTCTACTCAAATGTAATGATGCTGGAGCTCAGAGCTACGCTGTTTTCTCTCTCAGGCTGCTTTTTACAAGGTTTCAGGTGCCCACAGGGAGCCTGTCTTGTTTTGTGTTTCAGAGGAAGTGCAGGATGGAGACAGAAATTGTGAACTGGATCCAGAAATACGACGCACACATGGAAGAAAAACAGGTACTCTGCTCTCCCATGAGGTGATATGTTCACGTAGATTCCTGTCCAAATAGACTTGTGGCTCTTACACAGGAGGCTGTGGAAGTGAGGGGCAGTTCTCCATCCAGAAGCACAGGCTTTAGAAGGAAAGGTATCTTTGTCCTGCCTATGTGTTCAGGAGTTCCTCTGCTGCTTCAACTTCAGAAAAAGTTACATCCATTGATAAATCCCCCAGTATTTGGGAGCAGATGGGTTGCCACATCCACCTGACTCTAGGGAACAGGGCTTTCACTTTTGCTCCAGTCCTCAGTCCTGTTGGCCCTGCCTGCTGTCCAAATCACGCTCCCGTTTCTGCTCCCTGCCTCGAGAGATGTCTCAGAAACTGAGCAGCCTGCGTGCTGCTGCCTTGGCACCCAGCTGAACCCCAACAGGCTGAGAACCACCACATCACCCCCAGCCTTGTTTCTGAGAAAGCCCCAGTTGCTTTCCTGTTCCTGCCCTATTAATGGAGATGGATAAAAGCTGCTGAATTATTAACAGAGCAGAATGTAGGGAGCGGCCTAGAAGCTGGCTGCTAATTGTAAGAACTGCTCTCCCCCAGTCAGGTGTTTGGCAGCGTGATGGTTGGGGTTTGCTGGCAGCTGAGTGGCTGCAGCACCACGTCATGGCAGGTCAGGGGCAGAACTTGCTGAGGCAGACACAGCTCCTCGCTGCCGGTTCCCCAAATCTGCCATTTCCGCGGGGATTCCTCAAAGGCAGCAGGAAAGGCACAAACTGCTGCTGAGCTGGGGAAGGCAGTGACACCATTAAAGCTGCTTGTCCTGGGCCTTTTCCAGGCTGACACGGCCTGGTTCTCCTCGTGCTCCCAGCCACGCACAGAGAATTAGCTGGGCTTCAGTGCTGTTCATCAAAATGCCTCCTGAGCAAAGCTGTGGATGCAGGCTCTGCCTTCCCCAGATTGTGGCAATTCGTCCTTTTTCTCAGAGCATCTGCAGGAGGGGCCCTGGCTCGTGGGTGTGTTACCTGGACAGAGCTCCCAGCCCGGGGCAGATGCTCTTCACAACACAGAGGGAATTATGAGAGTATTTTTCAGAGGAGCATAAAGATAATGAGACCTGGTATCTCATGAAATTCCCTGGTTACTGGGCACACGCCTCACTCTTGAGTCCCTTTGGAAAAGCTCAGCTCAGCTCCCAGTTGTGGTTCTGCCTGGATTTGGGATGGGTTTAAGAACCCTAAAATTGCTGTAACTCAGACTTGCTGTACCTGGTCTCTGCTGTCTTGCCAGGCTGAGTATGAGGACATTCACGCTGCCTACACCGAGGAGAAGAACCAGCTGTCCCTGCTGATGGAGAAACGTGCTGTGCTTCTCCAGGAGTACTCCCAGATTGAGGAGGAGCGCAGGAAACAGGAGGAGAAGAAGGAGCAGGAATTGAAGGAATTAAACACCTTGAGCCTTGCTGCTACTCGCATCCAGGCCTTCTGGAAAGGCTACTTGGTCCGGTCCCTCTACGGTTCAAAATTAAAGAAGAAGAAGAAGGGCAAGGGTAAGGGCAAGGGCAAGGGCAAGAAGACCAAGAAATAAAGCACAAAATCTGTTCTCTCTGTTCCTGGCAAAGCTGCTGACTCCAGTGGGACTGAGCACTTCCAGATAAAAGCATGAGATTTGAGAGAGCATTTGCATCATGGCCCAAGCTCTCCAGGGCTGGGGCTACCTCTCATAGCTGGAGTGTTATCAGGGCACTGGTGTGAAGATACGTCTCACCATTTTAGGTTTGGCTTTGCCACCTCTGTGAGGGGGTGTGTGTCTATCTCTTGACAAAGGGACTGGGCCAGGAGTACAGGTTCCTGGCTTGTCTCCTTGGTGCTGGTCTCCTTGCTTGTGTGTGAGGACTCCATGCTGTTCTTAACAAAGTTGGCAATAAATTCATTCCTGGGGGCGGGATGAGGCCCTTCGTCTGACAGGGTTTCTCCTTGTGGGGATTTGAGAGACGATGTCCTTTTCTACAGGAGGAGGCTGTAGCACCAGCACTGATCGGGGAGAAGGGGGACAAGTCCTCACCGGGCAGGTTGCATTTTATGGCTGGGGCCATCGGAAGGGTGGGCTGTGGCTCCTCCCAGCTCCTGCCCTGCTCCCAGCCCCACATCCCACTCCCTGAGCCCAGAGCAAACTGGGCCCAGTTTAATACAGACCCCTGCTCTGACACACACTCTCCTCTGGATTCTCCTGTGCCTCAGGACCACGCTGGAGCCTGTCCCTTTCACAGGGCTGTGAGTCAAGTGTCAACACCCCCCCCCCCCCCCC